AGTTCACGGGGAAAAGCTGTCTGCTGATATACCTTCAGCAAACACTTTCATTGACACATTGAAGGAGTTCGTGGAGAAGGAAGGATTCGACGAAAAATTTATTTACAATGCTGACGAGACCGGTTTAAATTGGAAGCAACTACCCAACAAATCTTTAGCATCAAGGCGTGAAAATACTCACCAGCATACAAAACTAGTAAAGAACGTGTCACCATTATGGTATGTGCCAATGCAACAGGCAGACAGACTTCCACTGCTTGTCATTGGGAAATCAAAGAACCCCAGATGCTTTAAAAATATCAGAAGTCTTCCAGTTGAATATGACCATCAGAAAAAAGCCTGGATAAATGGAGAAATTTTTAAACGATGGTACGAAAAGCAATTCATTCCAGAAGTGAAAAAATATCAAAACTCCATAGATAAAAGAGGAATAACATTATTATTACTAGACAGTGCACCGTCCCACCCATCAGACAATGCACCGTCCCACCCATCTATAGAATGTTTAAAAGAGATCGATGAAATGTTTACAGTAAAATTTCTTCCACCAAATGTCACATCAGTAATACAACCGATGGATCAGGGTGTGATAGAAACAGTAAAACGCTTATATAGAAAACAGATGCTTCGACGATTATTGCTAGTAGACGAAAATAACGAAGAAACATTTATTAGCTTCCATAAGAAAATAAATTTAAAAGACTGTTGCTACATGGCAGCAGAGAGTTGGAATTCTGTAGATGTATCAACTTTGAGAAAATCATGGAATAAAATTTTGAAAAGACCATTAAAACATGTCAGTAACATAGTAGAAAACACAGTAGAAAGTGGTATAGGAGACATTGCGGAAGTAATAACACAAATTTCAATATGTGCTGAATGTGACGAAGAAGATGTATCCGAGTGGTTAAATTGCGATATGAACGATCCTGGATTCCAAATTTTGAATGAAGAGGAAATAATTCAAGAAATATCTGCCTCAGATGAACAAAATCGAGAAGACGAAGAAGAGATTTGCGAAGTAAGAGATATTGGTCCTACACATTCTGAAGCTTTTCAGTGTTTAGATGTCGCCATGAAGTGGTTTGAGAGCCAAGAAGAGTGTAACTCAGGACAACTTATATGTCTTAAAAGTATTCGCGATTTAGCAGCTTCAAAAAGAATTGCTAGCTTTAAACAAAAATTAATAATTGAATTTCTTAATAAAAAATAATTTAATAATATTGAAGCTACAGTATATGTAAATCTAGACAAATAAAGATTATTCATATTGTATGTACATGTCTTTCACTGTCAATTGTTGTTTTTTCGATTATCCGGATTTTTCCTTATCCGGACTACCTTCATCCCCAATTAGTCCGGATAATCGAGGTTCTACTGTAATTATAATAAAGTTACAATAAATTAAGTTAATATATAATTATATGTACAGTACCTAATTTATATATAATACTGTACAGACGATAGCAAACTCTCTGTAGCGTGGCACTTGACGGCAGAAAATAGTTCGGCTGCCCGATGACGTTTTACGTAATTATAGAAGTTTTTTTACCTTTTTTAAGAGATACCGTCGCAATATTTTCGCAGTTTTATAGGAATCGTAATTATAGGGACCGTAATTATAAAGGGGTCTACAGTACTACACACACACACACTCCAGGAATTTCAAGACTTGCAACGTTCTAGCCAAAATAAACTGCAACACAACAGACAAATCTAGATTACACGTTGTCCTTCAGCTAACTCCTACTATCAGAAACACGCTAATTCAACAGCAGTATGTTAGTGTGCAACGGGCAACGATAGCTGTAGATGACTACATCCCTCTTACACACTGCTACAAATGCTGTGTTATGGCCATCTAGCTAGGAAATGCACAAAAATACGACAGTGTTGTCATTGCATGGGCTACAAGTTTTCGACACCAGTCATAAATTGTGTGAAGGCCAATAACACTAAAAAAGAATAGCTAAGTGTTGAAGGATTTGGCGTACAAAGTTTTTAGATGGTTCAAAAATTGAAAATACTGTAGCTTTGTGGCTTACCGTTACAATTATGAAATACACAAATGGACAGTTCAGGCTGACAGTTGTTGCTCACTGTATTAAGCTGAAATGTTGGCAGATGAGATGGCTATTTCACAGATCAACGAAAACTTTTCTAATGTTAAAATTTCAATAATTACTGACAGTGCCTCATCGATTGCTGCTCTGTGAGAAAACAATCTCCACCCCATCACAATTGCGGCCAGATGGCAGCCTACCGCTCTGGGAGATCTGGGATCGAATCCAGTTGGGTCAAGGAATCCCCAAGAATTTTTCAGAGGGTGATCTGTTCGGATATGTCGGGCCCCCGTCCCTCACCACCTGGTCGTACCACTGTGGGCCTGGCCGAACCCATAATGGGCCTGCTGTAAGAGGCCTTCTTAGTGCCCACAGGGTGGAAAGAGTATATATATATATAAACCGCATTGCAATCAACATACGAAAAGTATGTTAAATTCGACAAACGCATTTGGCACCGGACATATGCTAATCAAGGTATTCTTGGTAATGAAAAGGCTGACACCTCGGCGAAAGCAGCAGCAAACGACACTAATATTCCCATTACATAACATAAATACAACTTACGCACCTCAAAGAAATTATTGTGGAATGATCTTCTCTCATGGCAAAAAGACTGGAATAGCCATCTTCAAATAACCACATATCGGTTCCTCCCAGTCATTTATGTTTAATAAATGATTTATACCAGGCTGTCCAAGGCAAGTTCCAATACAAAGATATTTTACCTAAACTGTACACAACTGACGGTTGTCTGTTCGAATGTGCTTATTCCTCCATGTGTACATACGCGTTTTGGTTTTTTATGTCTTTTGTGTCCATTTTCACTATTTTACTTGATCTACCTTGTATTACCTTTCTGTAAATTCGCGATTATATATTTTTTACTCTGTACTTTTTATTTTCACTATCTGTTGTGTTAATTCTTAAACTTTTATACTTATTGTAATCGCGACTTACATTGTTTTATGTAGTATTTTGTTTACTTGTAACACGGTACAAGATGCATACTCCTGTATGTAACAAAAAAAAATAAATAAATAGTGCTAACAAGGGGACCTTACGTTCTTGGAAATTCAGTTCGGGATGAGACTTTGCAGATTAGTAGTATACCTCAAGGGTGTCCACCCAGAAGAATTGTAAAGCGCACTAGCAACAAGATTCCGAGAAAAAAGGCTCTAAAATTTTAAGCGCAGCTCATATACTGATCGATTTTACACTATGGCAGCACGATGAAATGACTGAGCCTGTAGCGAACTTGCTTGCCACGCACACAATCTACCTTCGGCTAACTTTTTTTTTAATTGTTTTAAAAATTGTAACAACTTTTAAATAAAGTTAATGACCTAAAAATATTATCAATTGAATCATAAATAACTGTCAACTTTCACACCTGGTAGCTAATTATTCCGTGAGTTTTCACATGTCAGCAGCAAAAGTGGCACTTTCACATAACTTTCCGACCTATCGTCTTAAGTTCATTGGTTGAGAATAACAAGGAATTGAAAAATTCTTCAAATTTAAAACGAATATTTTTAACTTCTGCACAGCTTAAAATATCTTAAAATTTTTAGTTAAAATTAAATTTTCACTTACCGCCATTAGAAATGCATTTGAAATTATTCAACTTTTTAAAAATATTTTAAGCTATGGAGAGGTTAAAAATATTCGTTTTAAATTTGAAGAATTTTTCAATTCCATGTTATTTTCAACCAATGAACTTAAGACGATAGGTCGGAAAGTTATGTGAAAGTGCCACTTTTGCTGCTGACATGTGAAAACTCACGGAATAATTANTATACATTCAACAAAAATGTAAGAACCGTCATGAAGGAGATTGCGGACAATAAAGGATCAACGTTGATCGTAAAACGAGCTCCGAATCTGTACAAGATCCTAAGAAATGATAAAGGGCATATTAAGAAGGAGGATAAAGCAGGAGTGTATAGGATCCCGTACATGAATCAGCAGTTAGCAATAGAAAAGGAGTACATAGGAGTTACAACGAGAAACCTAGGAATAAGGGTCAAAGAGCATAAATATGATATTAGAAAAAGATCTAACACAACAGTTCTGGCCCAGATGGCTCAGGCCGAAGGATCCGTAGTTGGGTGGGAGGATGCGGAAATCATTAGAGAAGTGCACTCCCCAACTTTAGCGGAAAATGCCGAAAAAATGGAAATATATAGGAGCAGGTTAGATGAAAAATGCATAAACGCCAGAGATGCGGAGGGCCTACCTTCAGCATGGAAGTACGCCGTTAAAAAACTTACAAGTAGCTCTTGAATTGCTCCATATCCGCAATCGCGATATGGGAACCTTAATGATTTTTATTGCTTAACAAATAGTGGCTTATAATATTATTTAGTAGTTGTGTTATTTATTTTTACATTTATATATTTTTACGCTTTAATTTTTATTTTAATTAGTTGCTACGTTGTCGGTTTTATCTCTTTGAATTTGAATTTGGCGTTCTATTTTTCTTATTCCAAATTCGAATGTTTCAACCTGAGGATGATCTATGGAGTAGATCGAAAACGTTAGTTTTTAATAAACTCCCTTGGCAAAGAATAAGGTGTTCGTTACTGGATTAATTATTTTGCCGAGTACGTTTCTGTTCAGAACTAAGTTAAGCAAAAACTCTGTTTACAAATTTTCAGGAAAACGAAATAAGGATGTTTGTATAGAAGAATTATCGATTTTCAATCTCGTTTAACGTAAATTATATTAAATATATAAGTTGAGATTTAATTTACAAATATCGAAAAATTAGACAAAGCACGAATGAGATAATGTGCACGATACGTTGATTAGAAACAAGTAGCTTAACATCATATTACATCTGTTAATTTATTACAGTAAACGTTACATACGTAAAGTTTTGGAATATCAACAATTTAGTACTCGGACTTTACGTAAATCACAAGGCATTCTCGACCTGATCGTAATTTTCGGACGCCGAGAATGATACACTTTGAAGTGATTTTTCTTTTACTTATAAGAAGTATAAATTTATAATGTTAATAAGAAATTATTATTAAAAATGTATTTAAATTCAAAAATTGTAATAATAATTTTATGTTAAATTAAAATTTTCCTAAGTAAAAATAAATATACCCAAATTGTTGCAAATCACTCATGCTTCAACCTGTTTGAAATCATTTGTCATAATACCTGAATGAGCACAAGTAATATTATTATTAAGTATTTCCAACCAACAAAACGTAATAAAGCTTTCAATATGCTCGATTTCCTCTTCTCCAATTCTTTGTTCCATTCTCTGGAAATAAACTTCGATTAAGCATAAAATTTGACAAGAATATTTGAATTTGTGTTATGCAATTTTTGTAAAGTTATGCTTAATACTTTTAAAACTGTCGTTTTATTTTGGAAATACAATAAAAGATTATAAATGCAACTTGTAAAAATCTTGATTGCTCAGTAATAACAAGCCTGCTAGTGTTTTTCTAACGGGGATGCATTTGACACGTGATTCGCTAAAGACTCCGTGTCACAATAGGAACAAATGTGAGAAGTGCTTCCCAGCACGTCATTACACAACAGAAGGCAAAAATAACCTTAAATACTAAGCCTAGTATTTCACTGCTCAAATAACAATAACTAATTAATATGTAACAATGAATATAACAAATGAAACAGCTTTAGCTTTTTTCTGTTTAAATTGTTTAAACTTAAGGAAATCGTAATTCTAGTCGAAAGTATTAGGGAACGGTAATTTAAATATCGTTCTTCACAAGTAAATTTACTTACTTCTGAAACTGATCCCCAAGATACTCGGAAGTGTGATATTTAGAAGTTTCGTATAAATCTTCTTCTTTTAAAACTCTCTTTCTTCCTTCGTTTATTATGGGGAATATCCAACTGTAAAATAAATTATTTATTTAATATTCTTGTTTGACATAATTTTCTTGTACTGGCTGTTCCGAAATTGCTATGATCGTACTTCACTTACAACACAATGAACCCTATCTATCACTACAAATCATTCATCGTAATCACTCTGATCGTTCATTATTTACGAATTGCCAAAATCATTTTAGTTAAAACAGCATTGTGCATATTATATATCCTTACTAACTACCATCATTACAATCGCATCTGATACATTTTCTACGACAAAAAGGTACTGTACGTGTTCACAAACGCAATTGTTAAAGCCTATCTACTTGATAAAATGTTTTCTGAAAAACTTCACTTTTGAAATTTTTTCTGTTTATTTCTTATACAATTATTTACGGTTTAGTGACATTTTTTGACAGTTTCTAAAGAAAACAAACGTTACACATTCAACAACGAAAACTGCAAAAATACAGCTATGATAATCCAGGAGATATAAACAAATCTCGCAACGAGTTGCTTAACTTTCCGGCGTTTATGAGACTATTTTAAAAATAACATTTGTATTATTATACAGAAGTAAATTGGCTTTCTCGCGGAAATGTTCTGAATCGAGTGTGGTCTCTCAAGACTCAACATAAAAATTCTTGGTTGATCAAAAGCATATTTTTACAGATAGGTTTAAAAACTCCTCGTGGGTTGCGCATCGTGCATTTTTAGATGAAAGTTTGTTTTGAGCATATAAATGTATTGAACAACGAATTACAAGGAAAAAACATTAATTCCATTTCAGCCAGAGAAAAATTGTCAGAATTTGGATTATAGCTTTTATATTGAAAACAGAAAGTAGAACAAAACAAGAGAGCTTCTTTTTCAAAGTTGGCTTTGGTTTTGGAAAATTGTGAAAAAATTACTCTTAATGACATCAAGAATACAGCTATGAGGCATCTTACCAAACTCAGAGAGCGGTTCTTTGATTACTTTCCAGATCTTGATTTACATACTGTCTGTGGGGTTGTAGATCCTTTTAAATATGAAATTGCTAACATCCCAGAAAACCTCAAGATTTGGCAGAGGTTCTTTTTGAACTTCGATCTAATAAGGAAGCACGCATTCAATTTGAGAACAAAATAGATCTGTCGTGTTTTTGGATGTCAGAAGCTGCAAAGGCTTTCAAAATTGCACATGGAGGAGGTGGTAGAAAGTTGCTGCCATTTGCAACAACTTACCTTTGTGAACAAGGATTTTCCACTCTGATAAACATAACGACGACGAACAGAAATCGATTAAACGCCGAAGACTGTATTCAAATTGTTCTGACATCACAAAGCCCGAATTTATAAGTTATTGTATCAAACATGAAACAGCAAGTTTTCAATGAAATTATTTTGTTCCAAAATAATAATTTTATTTGGTTTGTCTATTGTTTATTATTTTCATGAAACTTTTCTCATTTTCAGTGTAAAATGATTCAATAAATAGTGTTTAATTTAAATTTGTATCGATTTTCTCCTTTTCAAAAAGAGGGGGATAATATCAACTTACACAAATATATTTTGGGGTAATGGCTAAAAAAGTTCCCCACCCCCTGTATTAAGAACTTTACCTCGACTTAACCAGCGTATTTCCGAATGTAACAGCAAATCTCCACATATCTATTCAATTTCTCTCAAAAAAGCATTGAAGTGCCTGTGTACCAATGCTGATCGTGCTACTATCATGTTTACAATCTTAACAACCTCTTCCATTACATATTTAAGTTGTTGCGTAGATGCCTTTGCAAATAAATTTTCTTCATATATGATACAATGAAACGATAAAGTGAGAAGCCAAGTTCATTTTCCATTAGTTTCACAAATCCAACAGTTTTTCATCTCATAGCTGAAACTCCATCAGTTGTTATAGAAAACAATTTACTTTTTAAATCCAATACTTGCCCGTTTTAATTAATTTAATTTAATTTAATAATTTAATTTCAAATTAGCAAACTCTTGAACTTGACGAAAAATGTCAGTGTTTTTGGTCGTGCCATTCATAGAAGCAAGACTGCAAAGTTCTTCATTGGCTTTTGAAATATTTATTGATGCATATCTAATAACAATTGCAAGCCTACCCACAGTATTTATATCGGTGATTTCATCAAGTGCAATGCTAATTATGTCACTGGATAACAAATAATTTTTGACCTGTTCATCAATATTTTCGGTCATATCTTCAATGCGATGCTGAACTGTTCTAGCTGATCATGCATTTCTTTATTTCTCTCAATCATTTGTTTTCTATTTGCGAAGTCATTAAATAAGTGTTCGGAACAATTTATGAATGTGTTTTTCAAAAATTCGCTGTCTGTAAACGGTTTTTCGTTGGTACTGTACCAATGCTAAGAACTTTAACATAACTGGCAGATGTTTTTCAAAATTTAATACACGTTTAGCAATGTATTCAGATTTTTCTTTGTTTGGCATTTTACTCACATTTTTATGTTTTGAGGAAAAATGTTGCTCAATATTGTAAGTTCTGGCGGTAATTACATCTGTACCTAAACTACTTATCAATTTATCACCATTTTCGATACATCCATACTTTTTTCCCATACATCTTGAAATAATCTTTTTTGCTTTTTGTTTGTCCATAGTAATAATTCGTTTTATATAATAATAATTATTTCACTGCGTAACTATAATTGAGTCACTATTCTTGCACTACTGAAGAAGTGCTAAAACTGAGAGTGAATTGAGAGAACTGACGGGAACGACACAAGTGTTGCCAGATGTCTGTCAAGGAATTATCGATCGACGTTGCAAAACTTATCGATTTCTCCTTGAAATTATGTTACAATTTTTATTTTTTAAAAATAAAAATGCATGTTCGTTATTGCAACTTTGTAATAAAAGAAAAATGTTATTTTTATTATTTATTTTCAGTTTATTTTTTATGTATTTTTCAAGTGTTCGTTTCATATTTGTTTTATAATTTGTTTTTGTATATTATACATTATTTTCGGAACTCAAGTGGCTCACTTGAAATTATAAAATGGATCACTTGGTGATCCGTGGATCACTCAAGTGCCAAAGTCTCAGGGGCGAATCCTGACCAAAATTTTTGAGCATGCTGAAAGTTGTAATAAGAATAATAGGCCTATCTCAAGCATTAAACAATAGGCAGTAACGTTATTGGAGTGAAAAAAAAGTATAGACTATCATAAAGCCCATTATATCTACACATGGAATATAAAAAATATATTATAATGAAAAAGTAATAAAAATTTATGGTAATCTAATATATAATCGAGACGGGTTGATAATAATNAGATTATTCATATTGTATGTACATGTCTTTCACTGTCAATTGTTGTTTTTTCCATTATCCGAATTTTTCCTTATCCGGACTTCCTTCATCCCCAATTAGTCTGGATAATCGCAGTTCTACTGTACTTTGAATTTGTTTTTCATTTCTTCAATCCATTTAATAAAAATACCCTAATGTAAAAACAATATAAATTGAATGCTTATAACACATTATATTTGCTACTCACCTTTCTATATATAAGAGTGCACAGAGCTATCTTTAATTTCATTGCATAGAATTCAGTTATAAACGCATTAATATTAAATATAAAGAGATAAATCACAGTTACAGCAAAGAATCCTACAACTGTAACGTAAACGTTGTATTGATTCCATTCCTGTCTGTTGTCAAAATAATGTATTATTAATCCTATGAAGTATGCTTGACATGCAACTACCGCCGTCTCCTGCAAGTATAAATAAATATCAGATATTTCATGTCTTTTAGTACACGCTAGTAGTAGTGATTCGATACACTTTGGGATATATTTTGTCTTTACTTATTAAAATATTAAATTAATAAAAACTTATTTTAATGTGAAATAATTTAAATACTATAAGAAACATTTGATGCCGTGGAAAAACATTTCAATGACCGTTTTATTATTTTATATATTTTATCGTGATTTTATCAATAAGATGTCTTTTGCATTTACTGTATATTAAAAAAGGAGGATTTTAAACATTGCGTTAGAGGTTAAAGAGCTCTTGTATCAAATTGTGGTGATTCTGCTCATTACTTGAAAACATTAGAGCTGATATTTACAATATTTTACTTAATGCTTATATTCATTTGAATATTATAAATCAAAGAACTAAGTTAATCCAGTAATGAACACCTTATTTTTTGCCAAGGTAGTTTATTAAAAACTAACGTTTTCGATCTACTCCATAGATCATCCTCAGGTTGAAACATTCGAATTTGGAATAAGAAAAATAGAACGCCAAATTCAAATTCAAAGAGATAAAACCGACAACGTAGCAACTAATTAAAATAAAAATTAAAGCGTAAAAATATATAAATGTAAAAATAAATAACACAACTACTAAATAATATTATAAGCCACTATTTGTTAAGCAATAAAAATCATTAAGGTTCCCATATCGCGATTGCGGATATGGAGCAATTCAAGAGCTACTTGTAAGTTTTTTAACGGCGTACTTCCATGCTGAAGGTAGGCCCTCCGCATCTCTGGCGTTTATGCATTTTTCATCTAACCTGCTCCTATATATTTCCATTTTTTCGGCATTTTCCGCTAAAGTTGGGGAGTGCACTTCTCTAATGATTTCCGCATCCTCCCACCCAACTACGGATCCTTCGGCCTGAGCCATCTGGGCCAGAACTGTTGTGTTAGATCTTTTTCTAATATCATATTTATGCTCTTTGACCCTTATTCCTAGGTTTCTCGTTGTAACTCCTATGTACTCCTTTTCTATTGCTAACTGCTGATTCATGTACGGGATCCTATACACTCCTGCTTTATCCTCCTTCTTAATATGCCCTTTATCATTTCTTAGGATCTTGTACAGATTCGGAGCTCGTTTTACGATCAACGTTGATCCTTTATTGTCCGCAATCTCCTTCATGACGGTTCTTACATTTTTGTTGAATGTATACTTTGTGTATNTTAACAGAACACACAACTGGAAGACACCTGGTGTAGACAACATTCACAA